CAAACAGTGAATCCTTACCCTTAAGTGAGAGAGAGTTGACAAGTCTCCATGGATACTTGCCAAATTGTTTTCCTTAAGAGATAAATGCTCCTAAAATAAAAAAAAGAGAAAAATGTGATAGAGGGAAGCAAGGGTGGGTCCTGATCCTGTTTTATGCATAAATTTTTATTTTTTATTTCAGTTGAATCCTTTGAAGTGTTAGTAGAGTGACAACCAAAGCATATGATACATGTCAGTAATGAGTTAACTGACATCCTTAACCCTTTGACCCCTAAGAGTGACTAAAATATAATTTCTCCTTACACTATCATCCCTGAATCACACATTAAGGTCATGAGAACAAAGAAAATGATCACCGACTAAAGAAGCGCTAGATTGTTAAATAAATTCTCCTTGTCAACAACTCAGGAAATGTATGGAGAACAGTGTGGAGAATATGCATACTGATGCTAGGGTGTATAGAGTTAAGTTGATGGTTTCTTTTTATACTATCATCATCTGATTGCTTTTAATATAGCATCATCTCAATAATGAAATAGGAAGTCAAATGCTGATCTTAGATCCTAATAGCAATTGAGAGTCGAAATAAAAAAAGGTTTAAGCCTGAGATTCAGCAGGAACCCGTTACTTCAAGACCACTTTTGAGAGAAGTTTGTTTACTTTATGCTTGTAAACTGCATTTCCGGTCAACGTCAAACTAGTTTCAGCGTGAGCATGTCTGATTTCTTTTGACTTTAACACAGAATTTCTGTTCCTCATACCAAGTTATAAGTGTGAGATGAAGTTAAATTACTATTAGAAGTTTTATTCTGTTAGTATTGTCAATTTAATAATTTGAAGTTGCACAAACATTTTATGATCGTACTGCAGAAAGTGTTTTTAACGTTCGCGATTCGCACAATTTCGGTGGCTTATAGAAAAGAAGTAAAAAAACGTAACTGAAACTTTCCAGACTCTACCAAATAACAAGATTACTCATCAATGCTCTTACCAGCTTCATTAGGTGAGATAACTCGTCTGGAAGACATTCCAATCCAGTTTGGTTCAATTTCAACCACCGTAAATTTGGCATGTCTGCTACCCGCTTGGGAAAATCCAGCTTCTACAAAAGGCATAGAAACAGTTGTGTAAGGATTAAGGAGGTTAATGAATAAAATAAAATACGTGGAGGTCCACACCTTGAAGTCATTTTTGGTCAAATCGAGGCCACGAACGAAAGGCAGCACACCTTCCGCCATTTTGCTGGCCGTTGTTTCTAGTTTACACTCAATCCTTTCTCAGGGGTAGGCTAAGGTTCGTATAGTTGCATGATGTTTTTTTCATTTTTTCAAACTATGCAAGGAAACATTAAAGCTCTCCACAATTTTTTCCGATTTTAACTTTAAAGAGATATCAGCTATAACACACTCAACTTAAAAAATCCATAGGTTAACTTTTTTCATCGATTATTTTGAAAAACTATGAGCTTCCTCACCCCTCCCTCCAGTCTCTCAGTTGTCACTCGAGGCCTCCTTACTCGAAGGACCACGCGCGAAATGGCTGGAATCGAGAGGAGGAAAACCTGGACGGAATTGTTGCTTTCGTTGTTTAATTTGCTCGTAGACAACGCCGATGGAGTGATAGATGACACAAGCTTAGAAAGAATACTTGAATGGTTAAAACGTGTGTGCCAAAATGAACACCAACTTCAAAATCTCATGCAATGTGGAACGGTTGAGTTCATGTCAAAAGATCATGTTTTCACCAATCCTGAATCAACAGCATTCTTTCTCAGATTATTGGGATTTCTTGTTTCCAGAACGGAGATCTTTCATTCTCTAAAATGTAGCAAAGACGGAGACATTGTTTCACGGCTTTTAATGAGGCCCAGGGATGAACCTCACTTGTGGAATGAGGGAATTGTGAGAAATGGCTATTTCCAGGCATTGATTTCTCTTACAGAGCACACAGATGGAATGTTCTGGCTTAAAGATTCAGGTGAAAATATGATTATAATTGATAGCAAGGAGGCATCATACCCAAACAGTGAATTTGCTCCTGGGGAGTGCTTCCAAGTTATAGGCTAATATAATAATGGATGGGGTGGCATTTTCACAGCTGGACAGTCTATAATGGGATTATATTTTTAATACAGTGACTACAATAGGGTCGCGCATTTTTAGAATTTGGGGGATAAGAAAATTCTAATCAGTAACAATTTAAAAATGGAAAGATTTGCAGTTAAAAAGTTACCATATTACCAAAAGTGAGTATAATGAGGTCTATAATTTGCCGAAGAATAATGGGGTAAGGGTTCTTGCCTGGCTTGTATCTTGAGGATTTGCCTCTCTTGCTACAGGGCCATATGAGAACCTGCTTTCAGGCTGTACATAAATGTTTGGTAACCAAAGATTAAGGAAAAGGATAAATTGAGGTTTTCTAATAATATATCAAGCTCTCCTGACCTTTCTGATAAGATTTTTTTTTTTTTTTTTTTGAGGAAAAAAAAATGAATTAACCCTTTGATCCCTTAGACCAACTAGCTGTGGCTTCTTATTTCTCCCTACAATAAAGGAAATGACCACCAAGTAAAGAAGTTCTTGATTGTTAAACAAATTCTCCTTGTCAGCAGCTTGGGAAATGTGAAGAGAACAGTATGGGGAATATGCATAATGATCTAAGGGTGTAAAGGATGATGGGAATCAATGAAAATAAAAATATTCTGTAATGTGAAGAAAGTCTTAGAGTTTGAATAGAGAAATAAGGACAGTTATAAGATGGATATGAGATTTAGATACCTATGGTATGGGATTTCTATTTGTCAATAATTGTCTGTCAGATGATAACTGTCAGTTGTTTGTTGGATTTATTTAGGTTCTGTGATACATGCATTAGACTGTATTTCTGACAGAAGCATGTTTGTGGCAAGTTCAGCCAGAAAATTCTTAGTAAAGTTTATTATTAAGGAGAGTGAATGGATAGCAGACCAACAGCCTCACACACAAGACAGCTTCATGGACTGCAGTGATCAACTCAAAATTATCATCGACAAGATTAAATTGATGCTTATTCCAGACATTTCACCTTCAACAACCTCAGAAATTGCTGCTATTGAAGTTACAAGAATCTTGTTATATGAGAACTCTGTCCATGGACAAAAGGTTCTTCAACAAAACAAACTGTTTATGGATTGTTTGAATTTATTACAAGTGGGAGATTTGGGGGTATGCCAGAAACTTGTTGATATGATATGCGAGATATCAAAAAACAGGTAAACAATCATGGTGAAATATGTGACAGTTATGTCAATTGCCTCTTTGAAATATGCTTGTATCTATCTATGCAATGGACTAGCATCTCATCCAGGGGGAGAGTTAATTAGCTCTTTGAAATATGCTAGCATGTATCTATGCGATAGACTAACATCCCATTCAGGGGGGAGTAAATATAATCCTAGCTCTGGCAGGGTGGGCCAATAGGCTTGAGTACTGACTCCACCTTTACACTTATCTATCCATTAACTAGGGAATAAGTGAATTATGCCTCTGAGCTCCTAAACCAGCCAGAAGTAGCCAAGAGCATAAATTATGACAATTTTTACTTTTCCATCACCTCCTAGAAGATATTTTTATTGTCCTGCATCATTCTCCTTTTGACCAACCAAATCCACCCGACAGCACATATCAGTATTATCATACTCCTCATCATTGAAGAACTGGTAATTGCTTTGTTTGGCATGTGGAGTTCAAATTGGGTTCTGTTTTACTTGTTTGAGCTTAATTTCCGTCCTGTCCCTAACATGTCCGTATGTTTTTAGCACATGTCCAGTGGATTGGCATAATCTTACCACCATGGAAAATACAGTCACAACAGCATCAGAAGTCCTTCTTGGGTCATGTGTGGATCTTTTTAAGAGAGGTCTCATTACTACAGGGCTTGAGCTGATAGCTGGTTTAGGCCCTTGTCAAGAATGTTCCAGGTACACACTGGAAGTCATATTCTTATGTATGTTCTTCAGTATTTAATCTGTGAAGTAACCTTGTGTGAGTTGCTCAACTTATAATTCTCTCCTCTTACTTATCTTGATGGGTTTTGTCTTAGAGATTTTCCACTTCACTGGTTGGAAGTACTGTTTGGTTTGGTAGAGTTACCTCTTGATCTTGTCCTTACTCAGACGTCTTCGAACATTGATGAATCCCAGAATGGCTGTTGTGCCAATGGAAAAAAACACACCAACACTGATCTTGTTGATGGACTGCTGTCCTTAGACCATCAGAAAAGATCCTTTGCTAAGGTTTGAAAATGGTCACACTGTTGGATAGCGCTTATTATATCTTAAATGTATTTCCAAATAGACTACACTTTTTTGTTACTCCATGTTGTTTTCTCAGGGCCTTGGAAAAAAACGTCTCTCTCAGGAGGTACCATTTAAAAAAAAAAGCATTTCACCTTGTGACATGAAGCTGAGCTCTTCAGTTGTAAGCAGGGTTTCTCCTGGCTAGCTTTAACCCCTTTATACCCGGACATCAGTATGCATATTCTCCATTCTGTTTCCCATACATTTCCTAAGGTGCTGACAAGGAGAATTTGTTAATCAATCAAGAGCTTCTTAAGTTGCTCATCATTGCCTTTATTCTCTTGACCTTTATGTGTGATTCAGGGTGATATTGTGAAGAGAAATTAGATGCGTGTCACTCTCAGCAGATCAAATGAGTTAATCCACTGTTATGGGAAGAAATTGATTTTTCTCTGACATATTGCCACAAATCATCTAGTGACAATCTTATATCTACTATTCTACAGCAACAGTTGCAACATACAGTGCTTCCTTGGATCAAAGGGAGTTCTTCCACCACTCAAGTTGTTTGTCAAGGACTAGCTGCAGCCCAACAGCTGATGCAGCAGGTAACTATTCTACAGGGGTTGTAATGGAGTGCGTTTTTGTACTGTACTTATAAATTTCAATTATGCTGCCTAATTTAACCATTTACACATAAACAAAGGCTTGTTTTTTTTTTTTAAATTAGAATTTAAACCTTAAAAAGGGGAACCTTTTCCATTTCATGCGATGGGTATTTGATCATATTTGCTAGTTTCAGAGTAATAACTGTCTTATTTTTGTGGATCAGAGAGGTTGTCTCGTAACTTTTCTATGCATTTGATTTTATTCTTTGTTTAATCTTTTTACTTATGAAAGGCCTCCTCAAGACATATTTCCCAAGTGTTACACTGGCTAAAGCTCAGTATAAACCTCCTTCACAACTGCATCAGTCCGAGCGACCATTCAGCTGTGAAGTTTCATGGCAATCAGAGAGTTCTCAAAGCCTTACTGGAGTTCATTGTAAGCTTTGCTGAAGTGCAAAAATCAAAAGGTGATCAACACATGTAAGGTTTAAGTGTACCGTGATTAAGGTTTAAGGCGGATTTGGGTGCTGGAAGAACGATCAACAGCTTGCAAATTACTTGCTTTTGGCCTGTTCCTTTATGAAGCTTTATTGAAGGTAGCAAGGAGGGGCGAGGCGGTCTTGATCCCGTTTCACACACGAGTTTTAAAAAAATTAATGCGTCACGTGCACTTTAGATAAATCTTTCAGGAGTCACGAATTTAAAAGGGAAACTTTCAAATCTCACCTTCCCTCGCCTTTCTGTAAAATTCCCGCTTTCCGTATTAATTCTGGGCCTAATCACGCGTTATGTATGAGCCCTTCGCCACTCTCTTTATCGAGTTCGACAAAGGTCGCGCTTGGGTTTTTACGCCGGTAAACTGATGAAAAGTGCAGTCTACATTCCAAAGTAGTGATGTGTTCTGAGTTGTTGTTTTTTTTTCTTTTTTCGTGTTCGGCTGAAAACTTACCACTATCTGTCCATTCTACTGTTTTTTAGACATTCTTGAAGGCACAGAATTCTTCATTGTTTACCAGCTGTTTGACGATGTTGTTGAGGCGTTGTTACAACTTATCGAAAGTTCCGAAACAAGTGAAGCTGTAAGTAGATGATTTGTTTTATCATCTGAGTTTATAGTGCAAATTGGCCACCGTACAGAGTTTTAAAAACTGTCGTTTCGAGCGTTAGCCCTTCGTCAGAGCCAAGCTGTAAATACTTTGTTTCTGCTAATCGATTGATACGTTTTCTACGGAGAGCTCCAGAGAACAAATGCTGCTTTTGGGTCGACCTTTCGGTCGCTGTATTGCTTGTATGAGACATAAGGCCGTTGAATTATCATATGACACGTTCGGCCCTGCGCGCGCAATCCGATAGAAATTTAAACTACAATGAAGTGTGTAGAGCCGGACGGATTGATATTAGCTTGTCCGGAAAAAGGCGTCTGGACTTTACTCGTACGGCTTTGTTGCAAAAAGAAGATCATTGAAATGATAGAAGAAGTTGAACTTTTCGATGAATTGTGAGTTTCTTGTTCTGACTTGAAAAAATAAAGACAATTTTTTTATTGTAGAATCCTCTTTGTGGTCTTCCCGCGTGCATCCGACACGTCTCTCTCATCCTATCTAAGTCGAAACAGAGTTTTCGAAATTTTCAACCCCTGGTGGTCGTATGATAAGCTCTTGATTGACTGAGTTTGGTCGGGCCAGACGGGAAATTATTTGGCTCTCGGTCAAAACGTATGGACTAAGCGCATTGGGACCACTCGGTCATCAAGAACATAGTATGATGTCTCCTTGGAAATCCTTATGAGTCATTATTTGTTTGTTGGTTTTTAAGGTGACATCTACTTCCTTGAAAACACTCGGAAAGGTGTTTGGCGCCGCCAAGCCAACATACATAACCAAGCTTTTTAACAGCAGCGAGATACAAACAGACAGCGAGATCCTTGGTGAGAAACGAGCAAGGCTTGACCATCATCTGCAAAATTCTAACACCAAAACATCAAACCGTGAAAAGCTTGCTTTCATGCTTTATCGAAGATTGCGAGACTCGAGTTGGGAAGTAAGAGATTCTACGTTGGAGTTTGTTGCTGATCTAGTGCAGTTAGACCGAGGTAAGTCCTGCATGCACCGGAACGAGGCAAGACACCGCAGCATCGGTAACATGGAAGTGGAATAAAAAACTTTGCAAATGCCCTGGCCTTCATACTTTAAAGAGAGCGTAAATTCCAACCCTTTTTTTCTCATCGGCGAGTGTTTCTAGTTTTCTTTGACTTACAACTTTGTTTTATCTCTCAAGGAAGTTGTAGTACCAATCTCACTCGACTCGACGCGTGTGGAAAATAGAGGAAGACTGGGACGAGCTAGTTTGTGAGGGTGGACCTGAGGGTGGACCTGAGGGTGGCAAATCTCTTATATGAACAACCCCCCCTCCCCTTCGTGCAAAAAAAGAAACCTGCACTTGTTTTAAGAACCGATAGTTTTTTTTCCTCAGATTTAATTGAGGAGTTCCTCTGTTTTCACAATATCCCTGCGATAGTGTGGAATACTGTAAATGACAGTGACAGCTACGCCCGTGCCTCTGCTCTCCTTGTCACTGGTTCCCTGGCCTGTCGATCAAAGTTGTGGACATCTCTTCTTCAAAATAGTCAACTATCAGAGGTATTTCCGGCTTCAATACCTAGCGTTACTTATCTGGGGAAATTGATAGTATCTGTAAAGTGTCAGTAGTAAATTTTTGTCGATGACATATCCTGCCGTTCTTGAACATCCATCAAGCGTCGATTGAAAAAACTAACACTCTTGTGATTTCTCTAAGTCAATTTTGAGGCTCGGCGACCTCATTATTTATCGCCTTTGGGGGGAACGGAGGAGTTTTGTTGTGTGACATGAAAATTTACCTGATTCCCTTCTAAGGCTCTGTAGTATTCTAGTGACCCCCCTTATTGGTAGTCAATTTTCTATATTACTCTGTTGGCGACTGACTCTCTCCCCCCTTCCCCCCCCCCCGCTCTGTATCCCCTGGGAACCATGTGATTCCCCCAAAATACTCTGATCCCCTCTCTCTTTCCCTCCCCTCCCTCCGGGCGATAAATAATGATTACAAAATTTTGTGGCTACTTCCGTTCTCAACAGGAACTCATCTTAGAGAAGCTCTCCACGGTTCTGGTAGAAGACGAAGAGGCCTTCCCACGTCGTAGAGCTATGGAATGCTTAACTTTGTGGACAAGAAAACGTCATCCCATTGCTGTCCGAATCATTCGCTCCAGCAAGGAAGTGAAAGACCAATCACCGACCGAGAGAAGTCCGACATGTGATGATATTCAGGACTTACAGCTCGGAGACCAATCGAAACAAGTCAGAAAACAATCGGTAGCTGCAGAAACAACGTCGAGGTATGGAATAACGACACAAAGAATCTGCCGCGCTTGTCAGGATTTTGACTGGGAAGTCAAATTACGTGGGTTTGAGTTCTGGGAAGCAGTTATCTGTCACATTACTGGTTTAAAACCAAACAAGGAAAGCACGAATACACGTAAAACGTGTGATGGCGAACGTTTGAATAAACAAGATGCTAATGAATGCCTACGGGTTCTTTTCGAAATGGGGGCGTTGAAGATTTTTAGTGAAGCCCTTTGTGATTGCGACCACATGGTTTGCGAGAAATCTCTTGAAGTGTTAGGTATTTTGCAACACATTACAAATCAAGATAACTCCATCGTCGAACAATGGATCACGACATCGGGGGATTTTCAGGAAGCTCTGGGGAATGGGTTCGGTTTGGAGAAGTTCAAGAAAGTTTTACTCGAAACTGATCTAGCATCAGTGGCTCTGTCTTGTGAAGCCGCTGACAATGCGCTCAGATCTGATCCGGTTTCTTTGCTAGAGGACGTTCTCTTGGCAGCTAGACATCACGAGGAAAATCTTCTGGACTGTTACTGATGTGATAGCTATCTTTCTGAACTCGACGTCGTTTCCAGGCTCTCTATTCTTTCCACAAGGAGACAAGAAGAAGAGAGATCCTAGGGACTAGATTCCAAATTTACCAAAATGAGTTTCTAATTTAAGTCTTTCGCTCTCAGGATCTAAAGAGCAATTCTCCTTACTGTCCATTATGCATATCCTATAATTGTAGCTTTGAGAAATTGGTGTTAATTGCAACCAAATCCCTTAACCTTCCTGCAAGAAACTGTTTGACATTGTAAGCATAAATTCTTTGTTGGTCTTTCCAGGGAGTTTAAGGGTTAAATAAAATCAAATAGAAGTTTGTTTCTGACCTTTTTATTCACTCACTAGCCTGAAGCACAACTGAAATTTCTGAATAAGACTACGCACAGTCCTTGCTTTTCGGAGAGGTCCGTTGCTCAAGTCGAAAAAAAAAAAATCAGAGAAAATAACAAAGCTATGATAGTACGCCGCGCGGAACTTTGCGTTAACACCTTTTCCACAGAATGTTTTACCCGCGCGACGGACTCCGCCGAAAAACAGCACAGGACGAAATCACATGTTTCCGTATTTCTGAAACGTGGCGGAAACATGCAACTCCATGTTTCCGTTATGTTTAACATGCACAAAAAGTGGTCCGGTTCCGTTGTATACGCAGCAACGGAAACGCGAGAAAACGTCACGAAACCGGTAACGGAAACACAGGTTATCCGTCGTGTTTCCAGAACGGTTTAACATGTTTCTGCCACGTTTCCGTTTACGGATTCTTGCAATTTCGTCCTGTGCGGGGACAACTCGTATTCTAGCTCCGAATTGACGGCTAATTCACTTGTGCATTAATCGAAACAGAGAATATAACTTGATACTTCTAAACATACCGTGGGTTTCATTTCACCGAAAACCGCAAGGCAAAAGTTTGAAGCACTAATATTCTTTATTCTTACATATTTACACGAACATTTGTTGTTTATGAATAAATAACTCCTATCATGAAGTGAGAAGAAACGCATGTGACTTAAATCGGCAGCTAAGTAAAGAGATAATTTGTTTTTGTTATGAGTATTTTAACTAAATTGCTTTAAAGTTAACGCAGTTGCCATATCATATATTATTTTTTAAGAAAGAAAATCAACAATTAGAAGGTACTTATGTTGTCCAAACAGTCCTGGTAATAGAAAAAAACAAGGTTGGTAACTCAATTTGCAAAGCCAGAGGTTCTGACCTAGTTTCCTTGTCCGACTAAGTTACAATTATGTACATCTATCGGTCTAAATATCTACATAAAAAATCGTCGTTGTTGGGTGCTTTCTCCTTAAATCAGTGAACTGAAGACTGACTTTAGTAAAGTTGGCTTTGTTCTTAGTTCCCAAAACTTTGAAATTTCCTACCGCACCATTATTTGACACCAACGAATTATTTAACGTTGGGTAACTTCTCGCATTCCGACTGCTCTCTTCACAAGGACTTCAAGGGCTTGCAGTGATATCTTTTCTTTATCGCTTACTTTAACGCATCCTAAGCCGTTCGGATGAGATCGGGTTGTCCGTGTTACAATAACTTCCAGCAGCCACTCTATAAAGCAGTTATTAACCCGTTCTGTTACTCCTTCCTTCAGACCCTCTTATCTATCAGCATTGTCGTATCGGCGTCTTCCTACCCGGCTACATCAGAAAATGTCGTTGTTCCCCCTTTCAAAAAATATTATCTGACGACGACAACCACTGTTACTTTCAAGCTCATTCCAGACCCTATCTTCTCTACTCGTTCCAGCCTGGTACCTAGTAATCATCATGTCCATTCATAAGATCCTCTTCTACTTCTTCTTCAACCTCCTCTCCTTCATCTTCGCCCAGTTCCCCGCGGATGTCTCGTTCCGCGCCCATTCCTCGCATCAAAGGAGCTCCAACTGCCTTGTGGGTCGCCTCTATAGTCTTCATGTTTACGTAGTAAGCCATGTTCACGTTGGGAACACGGCGTCTCATCTCCTCCATCACAGAGAAAGCCTAAGGAGAAAGAACGCGAGAAAATGGTTGACGTAATGAAACCC